TGGACTTATGCATTTCAAATTCATGCTTAAGTTTGGAACTGTGGGCTTCAGAACTGATCCTCTCCCTTATATTTTCAGTCATCCCACATAGACTGTGAAAAAACTTACTTGAAGCTGTCTCATTAACTGTTTTTCTCATCACTGCTGGAAACCCAGCTCCAAGAAGGACTCTGCAGGTCCAATTGTATGCTTTTTAAAATATGTGCACATTTTGAGTGCATACTTGCTAATATGTGAATATTAAAAATTACCAATGAATAAAGCAGGTTTTGTGTGCATTTTTTTTCAAATATGTTGTATTTCTGTGTGCATATTGAACTGTCCACATTTTTGGTGTCCTATTTTCCCCCTGCAAACTGTGAGCCTAACAAATTTCTTACCCATCGGTATGTATAGTACGGATTATTTATACAAGAACTGACTGAGAACTAAGAATTTTATTACTTAGCATGCCCTTGCCAAATTATGCCTTCAAGCTTATTTAAATTTACTTTCCAGGCACTCACTTCAGGGAACCAATGAGCTTCCACTTCGGGGTACTCAATGATGCAAGCATTTTAGAGGTAGGACCAAGGTGATTTTTTTTACAGCCCATTCAGGTAGCCCTTTTCTTTTGGCCCCATCATTTTTTTAAAAAGCAAAGTTCAAGCTTCCTTTTCCAAAGCAAGTTTTCTGCCCTCCTGGTTATCAGAAATCAAGGCTGAAAGAGACTGGAGCTAAGCCAGTTGTAACAGTTGAAACTGCATTTGGACTGTATGAAAAAGCCTTGCTAGTTTTCTATTATTTTACAATCCACTTGCATATCATAAATGTTAGAACTCATTTCTGAAACACCATGATACAATTTTTATATGCTAAGGGGAGAAAATAAGGAACTGTTTCACTTCTTCATATAATTCGTTTGATGTCATAGTGGATGACCTGAAGGGCAACCTACATTTGCCAAAAAGCCACATCCCAAAGTGGACTTTCTGGGACAACTGATGCTCTCTCTCCACCACAATGCTACTTACAATGATCATATTGTGATGCCCAGCCCCAGCCCCACAGAGGGCAGGGTGTGGGAGGCCTCAGAATATAATGCCTCCAATTGAGTTTCGCCATCATGGAAAGTTGTCACAGCAACACCAATTGTGGTACGCCTACAAAGGAAGCTACACTGTGGATCCATCAACTGATGAGAAAAAGGTTCAGGTTAGAATGCCAATTAGAAGCACTGTCCTCTACTTTAGCTCTGGGCTGGAACAATGCCCAGGGAAGGAATGCTTGGACACCTGCTGAAGGCCCACATCCTACCAAGGAATCCCTGATAAGTTGCTTTGCCTTCCCAGCAATATCATCTGCTTGATCAACTAACTCTTGTTCTGACCCAGATAGTGGTGGTGGTAAGAAGGATGAGATACCACCTGATCACTGGGTCTTTGTCTTTCTCCTAGTAATAATAAGAAAGAAGATGAGGAGCAAGAGCAGCTGGTGTCATTGGTAGTGGGAAGGCAGACTCACAGATGGGAGGCTGAAGGGTCCTCAAAGTGCAGACACTTCTTTGGATTTCCTGACTTTTATTCTTTCTAAGCGATGGGGGAGAACTTTGGTTCATTTTTCAATAAGGACTTACCATAAACTATACTGAAAGAATTTGAGGTTTTAGAGAAAACAAAACAAATTTTGGAGAAAACAAAACTGCCAGATGCCTCCATCGAAGTAGAGTGCTTTGAGTGTTTAGTGTCAAATCCTTCTATATTCAGTTACATTTTTCTTTATGAGTTAGACTTGATACCTCTTTTTACTGTCAGGATCCTCCATGAACTGTTAACTACCTGGCAGGCAGGTACAATGTAGCTTTCTCTGTGCCAGGAAAAAATATTGAATTTGGCCAGTGCAAATCAGTGAGAGTTCCACTGAGTTCACAGATAAGAACTTTTGTGAGTTTCTTTATAAAGAAGAGGAAGTTGCTGGTTTTTTAAAAAATGAAAGCAATAACAACAGATTTATTGTTCCCAACTCTTCATACTGGCTTCAGCATTAGCATTTAGATCAATTAAATGACTACACAGGCAAAACCTGGATTCTTGTGTGAATGAGTATCAATGTTTTGCCTAAAGTAGAATTTGCATTCCTACTTTGGTGAAATGTAAATAATTTTTAGGGAAGCCAAAAGGGAGTTCACATGGCTGGGAAAGTTCTCACAGGCAGTAATGATTAGTGTTAGTCGATAAAGATCCACATTGTGGGTGGACAGGCATTTCCTGGTGCCACGGACTCTCCTGCATTCAAATCTCAGATACTGGCATAGCCTTGTGCAATTTGCTGTCTCTTAGCTCACTCGTCTGTAAAACAGGAACAGCAGAGGCTTCCTGGGATAGTTGTGCAAACAAATGAACAGGAACATAAGGTTCCTAAAGACTATAACCATCTTTGACCTAAGAATGGATAACAAACAGTAATAGGTATCAATATTCTACAAATAAAAATACTTACAGTGAATTCCACTCTTCTTCAGCTTAGTCATTTCCAGGTGCATAGAACTACAATTCCCAGTACCTATACCAATGCAGCCTTTAGGCATACTGGCTGGAGATGGTGGGAGTTTCTGTCCCACACATCTGGAGGACATAAAATTGGGGGCAGAGATTGGGCAGTGTTCCATTCTCAAGATCCAAATAGCTTCCTGGGACATTCCTTGGAGCAGATGATGCCAGGGGCAGGGTGCTCTCTGTAGAGGCTCACCCCTTCCCCCAAAGCACGACATCACCTGACTCCTTTCTTCATGCCAAAAAAAGTAATAACTATGCCTTTTTGCACATGCCTCCCCGCTCAGCACTAGGGTTTTTCTCTAGCATTGAGCATGGAGTAAGACATAGGGAAGGGAGCAGGACCAGTGACAGAAACTAGCACATCAGATGAGGAAACCTCATTGCCAAGTCTGGCCTATGGGGAAGAGGTTGTCCATCCCTAGTTCATGAAAACTCAAGACAGCCAACATAATGTCTTCTTAGAAGTGAATTTGTGCAGAGAATGAAGGTACATGGCAGGGTAGTATCTCAGTGATAGATTCAGGTGGACCATTGGGATATACGAAAATTTCATTCTAGTTCATTTTTAATCTGGATTTATCCAGTTAGCATCTTCTAAAGATAGCCAGGACTGATACATACATCTGTAAAAATATGCATTAACATATGCACAAACTCAAGTTGGAATTAGCCTTGAGATGGAATTTGGAGAACTTTGGAGAGGTTGAGTTTTGCTAATTTGCACATCTCTAAAACTATGCACAAAGCTATCCATCTGTACAGGCTTTATGGGCTCATGTTTTTCATGATTTTGGGTGTCACAAAAGTACAGTAAATTGTTAGTTATTTAATCAGTTTACTTATTTTTGAATTTGTATGCCACTCATGAAATCAGATGGATTCTCTAGGAGGCCTACAGTAAAATATTAAAATAAAATAAAATTACAATCTAAATATCACAATTATACCAGGCAAGCAGAACAATGATCAATTATTAATAATCACTCATCAATTACTATTTATTATCAATAATAAATAACAATTTAGGACTGTCCTTGAAAAAAAATCATCACCTGGTGTTGAAATAAAAACAAAGTTTGCAGCAGGCAAATTTCTTTGGGGAGTCTGTTCCATAGTTGAGTGGCAGCCAGTAAAAAGGCCCTTATTCTATTTACTGTCCCCTTTATCTCCTTCAGGGATGGCTCTTTCAGAAGGACCTCCTGCCCAGATCTGAATGGGCAGGTAGGTATGTATGGAAGCAGCCAGTCCTTTGGGTAGCCAGGTTCTAAGGCGTTCAGGGCTTTATATTTCAAAACAAGTCCTTTAAATTGGGCCCGGTTTATAATGGGCAACTTATACAAAACCAATGATATATGGGCCCGCACGTTAACACCTACCATTATTGTTGTATTTTAATAAAAGAAGATAAAGGAAGTGCTTGTAGCTGGCCTTGCCTGCTATACACCTTCATGGAGAAGTGGGGAAAGCGGCTGCTACTGTTATGTGCCATCAAATCATTTCAGACTTATGTTGACAAGATGAATGATTGCCCTCCCAAATGTCCTGCCCTTCACAGTACTGCTCAGCTGTGGCTTCCTTTATGGGATGCATCCATCACATAGTTGGCCTTCCCCTTCTTCTGCCTTCGACTTTCCCTAGCATAATTGTCTTCTCCGGAGAGTCTTGCCTTCTTATGTTGTGGCTGAAATATGACAGCTTCAGTTTCACCCTTTTTCTTTCCAGGGAAAGTTCTGACTTGATATGATCAAGGGGTGAATTTTGAAGTGCAAGTACTCATTGTGACAGTCTTCATACCGATGCTCTCAAAAAGAAAATCAGAAATGCAGGCAGCAGTGTTGACCCATATCAACAAAGAGTCATAGGAGCTTTCATCTCCAGCAGAAGCAAGTCTTTTCTAAAGTCATCGGGTCTTGATTACCCATTCATGATCAAACCATGTCAAAAAACTTTGCATCGCAACAAGTAATAAGACATGGTTCAGAAAATTCAACTCCTCAGGCCTATAAATAAAGCTGAATATTAAGTGAAGGCGTGGGGGAGAGCAAGGGGGCAAAGGAACGGACTTCTGTATCTTATGTGTGTTTACTGGGCTGGGGAGTCAATGCTCTTGCCCCCCTCCATGCATCTACACTCCATATGCAGATTTACACTGGAAAAGAGCTATGTTTCCTCCTTATCACAACCTTACTGATTTTTCTGAAGCAATGTAAAAAACAAAAACAATTCTGTCATTAATCAGGATTTTCTCAGATAATTAACAAGGCTCCAGCCACAAAAGAGCTTGTCATGTCAGCTCCCTACTTGAACTCCGATCAGAGGAACCACAACAATATAGTACACAGCAAAGGGGTCCAGCAAAAACCCCTCTTTACTAGAGGGGGCATCAGTGCTTCTGAGCATGCCGAAATGCTAAGCGAAAGAAGAGAGGAAGTGCAGTTCGCAGTCAACAACAAGTGCAGCTCTCACCTATTAATAGAAAATGGAGTAATAGACTTGATAAGAGATGCTTTTGCTCCCACTTTAGCAGCTTCTACTGCTCCTCGACTTCTGTACAGCACAGTTTCTCCATAACTGATGTAACGTTGGTTGTAAACAACAATCTTTCCACGAGCTTCCTGCGCTTTTCTGTGCAGTTCATCAAAGGAAGACACCACTAAGACCTCGGCTGTGATGCCTGGAAATGCAAAATCAACAATGTTACGGCTCAAGGCCTTAGCCAAGCCATTACAGTGTATGACATGCAAAGTTCAAATGACATTTCTCTTCCCACTAAAATTGGGCACAATATATTTGCACAACTTAATGAGAGCTGGATAAGAGAATTTGCAATGAATTGTGGACCTCTGGGTCGGATTTGTCCAGTCTCCCACCATGTGGCCAAAACCATGCCCTGAAGCAGCTAGTGCTACTGGTGGGGAGGAGCCAGGGCTGCCAGGGAGGGCCAGTTTTTGAGTAGCAGGAACACAGGTGTCACCCGCCATGCCCCTGGCATGTTCCCTCTGCACTTAGCTGCAACTCTCACAGGAACTAGGAGGATCCTTTTTTCCAGCAACACTACACTGTTCCCTGTAACAATGCAAAGTATTTGGAGGGTGGCTTGGTCATGAATGACACAAAGAGTGCTGTAAACTGTTCATCTCAGCAAAACAGAGGGAAACAGGTCACCTGCCAGATGCCCAATGTATGAGCTGTATCTTCCAGAATTCTCTAACGGCTATTTTAAAGACATCTCAAGGAAGGCCCCAAAGATAATCTAAGAAAACATACACTGGGATTGGTTTTTTTTTAAGTAAAGGAATGCTTCTGACATACTGAAATGAGTTCTCTTTGTGAATTTCTAATGGATGCTTTCCAGTATGTTCTTACTCACCATTGCTCTTGAATGGGCAATTAGAACTCATTAGCTTTACAAAAGACCAGCTCCTGGAGGAGATAAAACTGCTTGGATTGGTTTGTTGATCTGATCAACACAGCTGCTTGGATTATTGGACTTTCCTTGAGGGTGTGGCTATGAAGATTGGCACAATGAGTGCCCGTACTTCCAAGGCTACCACTGTTTGCCTCATCTTCTCTTACAATAGAGCCAGTTATGGATACATAGGATGCTAGGAAGTTTTGCAAGCTGCATTGTATTCATTTATGGAAGAGAGGAGACAGACCATATGAGATGTACTGGCTGTATCTGGTCTAGCAATGCAGTTTCCCTCAGAAAAAGATGAGTCATTTTCCTCTGCTCTGTTCTGCTCTGCTCTTCTGGAGAGGCCAGCCTCCCTCTATGGCAGTGGGGGAAACTGACCCCGCACAGCAATGTATGCACAGCCTCAGTGGAACATTTGCACCTTTATCATTCTTGCAATCAGCTCGAGTTCATTAATAAAGCATAAGGATAGAACAGGAAGAGATAATTATATTATGACCCTTCCTGGGCTTAAAGATGTGGATGGACACCATTATTTCTGTTTTAAAACACACAGAGATAGCACTTTTTTCAAATGTATTAATGATCACTGTTTTGTTTGCTTACCAAATAACATGAAACGTTATTAGGAAGGGATAATTATTACCATTATTTAGGGGACAACTGACCAGCATATCCTCTTTCAGAAGGCTCATTTGAAATGAATCCAGTACATTTTCTGTACACTGTTTACCTTACTCATGGTCAATGAGGAAAGCGAGTTACATGTGAAAAATCAGTGGTGTTGCTTATGGAATGCCTTCTAGTAGGTTTTGTTCTTTCCCTAGGAGATCTCTATTTTATGTCTTTCTGATATAAATAAACCCAACAACAAAAGCAAGATACCAAAAAGAAAAAAGGTAGCAGTGGCAATTCAGCGGTTGCCACCACCCTCACTCCATTTAGATTTTCACTGAACATTCATTTGGGAACCAAATGTCTTTTTTAAAATTATTTGTACAAAACCATGCACAAGATGACCTCAGTTCTCAAGATCCAGTCTTACAGTTGGGTTACAGAGGATGGAAGGAAGTGTTCAAAAACAAAACAAGGCTTCATGCTAAGTACAGATGACACGTCCGTAATGTACTTCTGGAATACTAACACTTCACTTAGGAGCCACTAAGCACATGAACAGAAGATAAATGAAGGGGAAAATGCTAGCCACCCTCCTCCATTATTTCAAAAGTGAAAAAAATGAAAAAGAACTGGCTCTCCCTGCACTTCTTCAATATACCATTACATTTCAATCTTGTGTGGATGCTTGCAATCCATTTTATATGCCAAATAATTTTGACTTATATTTGCAACACCAGTGTGCCGATTGCTGCACTGGGACTTGAGAAATATGGGTTCTAATATTCACCTGGCCATTTAGCTCATTGGGTGACTGTGGTCCATACATGGACTCTCAGCATCACCTACCTCAGAGGACTGTGGGGTTAAATATAGAGGAGGGCATGATCATGTCAGCTACACTGGTTTCTTTACAAGAGGGAATAAAGCAGGATATAAATGTAACAAAAATTTAGAAAGAACTTTGCCATTGTCCCTAGCAAATCTGTTGACCCTTGTTTTGAAGCTGAAGCATAAAGATACAGTCTCCAGACCCTGGAAAGAGGCTGTCCTTCAACATTATATGTTTACTCTCTCCCCTTCAATGCACATGTGCTTTGCATTAGTGCAGTGCAGCGAACAACATATATACACAGAAGCTGTGAGCTTATATAAAAGAGGACTTGCTAAAGTGAAGATGGAACCTGGCCCTGTAGGGATTGCCAGAGGACCATGCCCCTTTCCCCTGACTCCAGACCCTGTCTCTCAACCACCAAGAATTTCACCGCTTTTGTACATTTTTTCGCAATTGAAATGTTTCAGGGGAGTGAACATTCAATGAAAATATGGGTAATATGGGAGACTCTTTGATCAAATCTTCCAATTATCATTTTCAAGCTTGATAGCAGCAGCATCTGTGAGTGTGTGTAGGGCTGGACTAGGACAATAAAACAGGAAAAGCATGGCATGGTTTCTTCATGCCATTTTTCCAATAAAGAAGCTCTTCCCATGTCCCCAAGGAGCAGGGAGCACCTCTACGGAGAAAAGACTATCTAAATTGGACTGATCTTTTTCCCACTGCAGGTCTAATAGCAGGTATTTGGCAGAATGTGATAATCAGGAAAATAATATGGAGGAAGAGATCAAACATTTCCTCTCTCACTAAGCATATTTATACTTATCCACTAAGCATAAATACGCAACATTGAGATACCCAATAATGAACCTCTAAGAATGGGAGAATATTTCAGTGTCACTTTTTCCTCTTTAGATGGATTTTTAAATTAATTAATTATTTGGGGGGGGGGTGTTTGGTGACACACTACACACATACACACACACAATACTGTTTCAGACTACATTTTGTTTCTAGGAGAAGAAGGGTTGTGGGCAGAGTGAGCTTGGATTTTGATTCCAGAATGGGATACGCAAGGTGAAGAAAGTCTCCTTGGCTGGCTTGTCCTGGCTTTCATCCCGTAGTTTTTGCCAGGTGCCAGATTTGCCAATCAGCAAAATCTACTGCTGTTACTGTTGGCATGCAAGTAGAGTGAACTGAAAGACTCCAGCGGCCCCTAATGAAGAAGAGAGTTACCTGTACACCTAGGCAATGCTGTGGTGACAGGATCATCTGCAGGGCTGGAATTAGGCCAGTGGAAAGAAAACCATGGAATTGCACATTTTCATTTTCCACTAGAAAAATCAAGGCCTCTGCAGGCTGGCACTGCAATCTACATGTCATATCAGCTTCAGTAACAGATGAGCAGAACTGGCACCAGGTATTAATTCATCCCCATGCTCCACTTATGCACCACATCAAATGATAAAAACATAATAATATATGCCCATGATTGCTCATCAAGAAGAGAAAGAACAGTAGGCTTTCTTGACAGTTTCTTGCTGCATTAATGGCAGATACCTCCTACAAGTCAGTTTTAAGACTTCCTTTCACTGCCTGTGCAAACCTTACCCGGCCCCGCAAGTAAATTGTCAGCTGCTTAGAGATATTTGTGCAGAAGTATCCCTTCCCCCCCCCCCCAAAAAAAATGTACATAGAAGTGTGTATGCATTAAATATGCCTGAAAGGGCAGCTTTTGCTATATCAAGTGTGGTTTCTGGTCAGGGGATTTGGATTGCATAGAGGATGTGGCTATTTAAAAGATGGTGATGTGGGACAGTAGAAGCATCATTAGTGCATATGATATGGTGATGCTCAGTACCTGGCATAACATGCGCACAGTTAGAGGGAGAACGGGTCCCTGTTCCCAGCAGCCGACTTTCTTCCCCAGAAGCAGCAGTGGACGTGGAAGAACGGCACTGCCTGAGCAGCACATTCCTGGTGAAAGCCCCACAAACGCTGGTGTGCTTGCCAAGAACTCAGACTCTGGGCTGCTGCAAAGCAGACTGCAGTCTGGGAAGCCAAAATCAGGGGATCTGATAGATTTTCTGCACAAAATGTATTCCTTGCACATTGCGAGCCAAGGCTCCAGACGATCTCAGTATAGTCAATTCAACACTTCTGGATGTCTGTGCTTGAGATTGCAGAACTAGCCATTGTGGCTGAAGCAACATTTGAACATTGCATCAGAATGTCAGGCCCTGATAGTTTCTGCAGGAAAGAATTGTAAGCAGGATATTAACTCAGTTCTGCTTCTGTTCATGAATCTTCCCAGAAAAACCTATGTGCACTTTGCATTTGGACAAAGCTTCAGAAGGGTTCTTCCATAGAGAAAAATCATTTTGTTGGAATTGGCACAGTGAGCTGCAGAAGTTTCCACTGAATGGAAGGGAGCCATTAAGTATTAAGGAAAATGTTTGCTAGTCTAGTTTTTTTCTTTCTTTCCGAGATTATATCTACTCTATTGCTCTGTTTAGTTCAAAGTGGAAAAATTATTTCACTTGAGCTGCCGTTTTAAACCAAGAGTAATAATCTTCAGTTAGAAAAATTACTATCATGCCTATGAAGAATGCTATCTTACTAGAATCTTAGCTTATCAAACTTCTTGTCCAGTAATGCCATATGCATGGGGCTCTAACTGCAAGTTGTAGCAGCCAGCCAGTGGGAGAGAACAAGTTGTGAATGGAAAACAATAGTGCATTTATAAAGCTGCAATGCTGGGGATTAGACACACAAATTTGGGGGTGCTCTGTCTGCTGACCAAATCATGAATCGCAGAGGTGTATTGGAGAGTTTACGTCAGGGATAGACAAGCCAGGGCCTTCCAGATGCTTTGGGTGACAATTACCATAATCTCTTATCACCTCCTATTTGTTGGCTGACGGTTGTGTCTGTCTGTCTGTCTGTCTGTCTGTCTGTCTGTCTGTCTGTCTGATAAACACACACACACACAAACTCAGCTATTGCAAAACACCATAAGCCTTCAGTGAACTCCTTCTGAAGGAAACTAAACATGGATAAGTGCTGGATAAGAACTTTTCACTGCTCAGAGAACCAGGGACAATGCAATAGTACCTAGACCAGCTGAATGAACAAAGCTCTTTAAAAATGACCCATTAGGTGAATATAAAAGCATATACATGAAACAAAAAATTGCAAGGTTAAGTATGACAATTAACTCCACATGTCAGGCAATCTTTACCTTCTGGAGGAGTTGCAATGCTGCTACCAAGCCCTAGAATAGCCATGTTGTGATTGTATGGCTCCACTATCATTGCTGATTCTTCTCCCCTTTCCCAGTGGGGAATTTTTACTGGCTCCAAGTGGACATTTTCCAGCCCATCCGTCTTCAAGGCTTGGTACATATACTGTATGGCTTGTTCTAGGTTTCTAGAACCACTCAGTCTTGGCCCAATGGTGTCCACAAAAAGTGAAAGCCTTTCATAGGATCTATTCTGGGCTGCGCCATAAACAGCAAGATTGATAATTTTCTTGGCAATCTCTGCATAGCCAGCTATTTCCTTCTTAATGTCTTCAAATGTTCTTTGGTGGCCAGCATTGTTGTTACTTAATGGAATCTCTTTGCTTTGAGGAAACAGGCAAATAAAGACAACTGAAAACAGAAGTTTCATTTTTTTCTCCACCCTGATTTTACTTGCCAACCTGGAGGAGGAAAAAGACAAAACCAAATCATAAAATTATTTAGCAATGTTCACTTTTGAAGTATGGCAGCAAGTTAACAGATGAAATCTGATCCAGTCCAGTGTTTTCATATGAAGCGGGAGTGACAGTAAGGTACAGCCAATATGTAGATTGGTCATTACTGAAAACAAGTGAAAAATAATGTTTACAAACTCTCTGCTTAGAGTTATGTATTGTTGCATTGATTGGTGGCAGGGGGCCTGTTGAATTTGGGAAAGTGGTGTACCTTAATATAGATTTTTCCATGGGCTTTACTCCAACTGCTTCAACTCTGCTTTTTAACCTGCTGGCTTCTGGGTGACAGCTCACTGCCCTAGAAAACAGTATCTTTTAACTTAGTGGATCTTTTTATCCATTGATATCAGTAGAGATTTGATGACTCCAGTTGTAGGCTCACATGATTGCAGATTGAATGGTCAGACCCTGGGATGGTAGGTAGTTGCCAAGATGCTAGAAACATAGCAGCTCCTGCTGCTGATACCAAGCTTGCCCCCAATACTCAGAAGGGTCAAGTGGCTAGCTCTTCTCAATCTTTCCTCCCAGTGTTTATTGAACACTGGGAGCTAGATCCCAGGGACACTCACCACTGTTCCTGCCAGTGCCAAGAGAACCCATCAGCACAGATCCAGGGTCTGGAAACAAAGCCCTGTGAGGAAAGATTGAGAGAACTAGGCATGTTCAGCCTTGGGAAGAGAAGACGGAGGGGGGTGGGGTATGATAGCTCTATGCAAGTACTTGAAAGGCTGTCACAAAGTGGAAGGACAAGATCTCTTCTCTATCATTCCAGAGTGCAAGACACGGAATAATGGACTTAGTTACAGGAAACCAGATTCCAGCTAGACATCAGGGAAAAAATCCTCACTCTTAGAGCAGTATGATCATTGAAGGGAGGTTGTGGGGTCTCCTACAGTAAAGGCATTCAAGATGCAACAGGACAGACATCTAAGTGGAAACTGTAACTTGCTCTTTCTGGCCAAGTGTGTTAAACTCCAGAAAAATGTCTGAAACCGTTTGGGACAATCTGGAGGACAAGCACCTCCTTCTGAGATGTATAGCTCTCCAGGATTACCTGGCATAACATGGGCACAGTAAGTGGGTGCACAAGCAGGTTGCTTACCTGTAACTGATGTTCTTCGAGTGGCCATCTGTGTATTCACACATATGGGTGCTGCGCCTGTGCAGTGCCTAGGCTGGAAAGATTGAAAGCTAACGGTTTTTGGCAGAAAAAACTCCGCTTCCTTCCCCCTCGGTAGCATATCTATAGAGTGGAGTATCCGCCATTTTCTCCAGTCTTTGGAGACCGAACGTTCGCCACCTCACAGAGGAAGATGGTATAACAACCTATCAGGTACCGTCATATCCCTTTCCGGTACCGATTCCATAAAAATATGAGGTACCAAAGCAGTATTATATGGTACCGATGACGAAACCACTTACCGACACCGAGCAGGGCCGGCGGGTGGGTTGTGTGACTGCACAGATGGCCACTCGAAGAACATCAGTTACAGGTAAGCAATCTGCTTTTCTTCGTCGTAGCCTCTGTGCATCACACATATGGGTGAATAGCAAGCTTACCAGAAACGGTGGTGGGCGGTGTTGCTATTGAAGAACGGCAGAAAGAACAGCTCTCCTGAAGGAACAGTCTCTTCTGGCACGCATGTCAAGGCGATAGTGCTTCGCGAAAGTACAAGGCATAGCCCAAGTTGCTGCTTTACAGACATCCTGGATTGGGACACCCGCAGCAAAAGCGGAGGAAGCTGACATCGCTCTAGTAGAATGGCCCCTTGGAACAAAAGTCCATCTTTGAAAGTTGGTACGCCAACGAAATGGTTGGAACAATCCATTTCGACAGCCTCTGAGACGAAACAGGTGATCCTTGGTCCTGCTCAGAATACTTTACAAAAAGCCTATTGGAGCACTGAAGAGACTCCGTGCACGATCTATAAAAGGCTAAGCATTGTCGAACATCCAAGGTATGCAAGGAGCTCTCGATCAGGTTCAATGGCAACGGAAAGAAAGCAGGTAGCACAATTTCTTGGTTCAGGTGCAACAGTGTGACAGCTTTAGGTAAAAAAGTTGGATCCATCCTCAGGACCACATTTTCCTTATGGAAGTTTAAGTAAGGTGGATCAATTCAAAGAGCACAAAACTCACTGGCTCTACGAGCTGAAGTAACAGCAACAAGGAAGGCTGCTTTCCACAAAACGAGACGCCTATCAACAGTGGCTAAGGGCTCAAATGGTGGTTTTGTAAGCGCCTGAAGGACAACTGAGAGGCTTCATGTCGGCATAACTGGCTGAATAGACGGATGGAGATTCTGCAGTCCTTTAAGAAATTTCCAAATAAGCAGCTGCGAAAACACCGACAATCCTTGTACTGTACCTCTATGATGTGACACTGCAGCTGCATAAACCTTAATTGAGGAAATTTTCAGTCCCAAGCGATGCAGGTGCAGCAGGAACTGAAGAATATTCTCAACCGACACTGTAACTGCGTTAAATGAGCTAGATTCTACAACGGATGAAAAACGGCGCCACTTTGCTGCATAGGACTTTCGAGTTGACGGCCTTAGTGCAGACTCGAGAATCCTTACAATGTCCGGATCGAGGGAACTTGGTCCCGACAACATTCCCATAGGTACCGAGTCAGTGAGGGGGTCAGACCAGTCATGAGTTGAGGTACCGAGTGATCTAGTAGATCTCTGTCCTGAAACGGTCTCTTGGATCAGTGAATCCTCCACGCAGTGGGGCTCAACAACGACAAGTCCGGGTGACGGACAGCGCCGTTTTGCTGGGTTAGTAGATCTTGTGTGGTCAGAAGACGAAGGAAATTGCCATCCCAGATCTGAAGGAGAGTGGAGAACCATGCTTGACGGGGCCACCAAGGTGCTATGAGTATTCCTGTGGTGGCGGCATGTACTATCTTCGAGACTACTTTGGTCAGTAGAGGAATGCGTAAAACCTGAGATTTGTCCATGGGATCATAAGGGCATCCCCCATCAATTCCGGTCCTATTCCCGCCCTGGAGCAGAATCTTTTGCACACCTTGTTTCTGTGGGTAGCAAATAGGTCTATGTCTGAATGTCCCCAAAGTTGGAACAATTGAATGCAGACATGGTGATTCAGTTCCCATTCGTGGGTGATCGACATGTGTCTGCTCAGGGTGTCTGCCTCTTCGTTGTCGGTCCGGCCAGATGGACCGCCAAAAGGGCTATACCTCTCGGGATACAGCACTCCCAAATGTCCATGGATAGGCGGGCTAGAGCGGTGGACTTTGTTCCGCCCTGTTTGTTGATATAGAATACCGCCACTATGCTGTCAGACGTGATTTGTATCACTTGGTGGCGAAGAGCTACTTCGAAGGACCGGAGTGCCTTGAAAATCGCTAGTAGCTCAAGGTAATTTATGTGGCTCAACGATTGTTGGCAGTTCCACATGCCCTGGGATCGAAGCCCCGCACCCCACCCGACCAGCGAAGCATTGGTGTATAGAGTCATCATCGGGTGAGGGGTGATGAAGGGGGTCTCCACGTTTAAATTGGCTGGGGTTATCCACCAAGTCAATGTTCATAAAACAGCGCGGGGCATATGAAGTAGTTTGCCGGGTGAATCTCTTTCTGGATGAAAGTTCTTGTTGAACCAAAGTTGAAGAGGACAGAACTTCAACCTGACATGTGGGACAATGGCGACTGTGCCGGCCATGTGACCCAAAAGTCTTTGTATTGAGAGCGCTGTCACTACGCAGCTTTGTCGAATCTGAGAGACGCAGATGCGGAAGCTGTCCTGAGGGAGGAATGCCCTCACTACCGTGGAATCAAGGAGAGCTCCGATGGTCTATCACCTGTGTAGGGACAAGGGATGATTTTTTACTGCTAATGCAGAGTCCAAGATGGTCCCACAGTATGCAAGCAGCCTGAACAGCTGACAGTAGGGTTTCATGTGTCTGTGATACTATAAGCCAGTCATCCAGGTAAGGGTAGACTTGGATGCCCTGAAGACAAAGGTGAGCACAGACTGGTGCCATACATTTCGTGAAGACTCTCGGAGCCGTGGCCAAGCCAAATGGAAGGAAATTAAACTCGTAAATGTCAGTTCCGACGGTGAAACGCAGAAGACGCCTATGACTTGGATGAATCGAAATATGGAAATAGGCATCTTTTAAGTCAAGGGAGGTGAACCAATCCTCTCTCCTCAGCAGTGGAAGGATATTTTGAAGGGTAGTCATCCAAAATTTCTTTGGTTTGATAAACTTGTTGATATTTCGGAGGTCCAAGATCGGACGAAGGCCACCATCCTGCTTCAGGACCGTAAAATATCTGGAACAGAATCCGTGAAGCCCTTTGGAGCTGGAGATCCACTGAATCGCCCCCTTACAAAGCAGTTGTTGCACTTCGTTCACTAGCACTGGGGAGCGTGGTTGTAAATCGAATCGGGCTTGATGGAGGAACGGTATCGAATTCTATTCTGTATCCAAGCTGAATGATCGACAGGACCCACCGATCAGATGTAATGGACTCCCAAATGGGGAGTCGGCCTTGCAGCCGTTTCCCAAAGGGGAGGGGGAAGGGTGGGTATGGAGGTGGAGGAGAGGTTCGCCCGTTCCATCAGCGTTGATGCTTCTCGGTATCGAAACATCGACGGTTTTGCGGGAAACACTGATGAGGTTGTTGCCTTCTGCATTGCAGTCTTTGTTGGTACTGTCGCTGCGGCGGCTGGTAGAGGAAGGATGGACACAACCATGACCACTTACGTTTGAGCTGTCCAGGCAGTTCCATACGTCTAGGCGTCATCCGGGATTCACGGATGGACTTTAGTTTGTGAACGGTGTGGGAGTGAAAAAGCCTGGAGCCGTCAAAGGGCATTTCTTCTATTCGCCGCTTCATTTCATCAGGGAAGTTGCAGTTTCGCAACCAGGCATGCCTTCTCAGTGAGGCAGCCCCCACAAGAGCTCTCGAGTCCGTATCCACATGGCGGCGTGCTGTGGATAGTTGTTGAATGGCAACTTGCATCCCCTCTTTAATGAAGGTTCTGACAAGATCCCGTTGTTGTTCAGGCAGAGGAGTGACAATATTATTCAGCCTCTGCATAATAAAGAATTGATACCTGGCCAGGGTGGCTTCATAGTTGGACATGTGAAGCCCGAGTCCTGCAGCCGCATAGACTCTGCGTGCCAGGGTATCAATCTTGCGACCCTCCTTGTCTCTGGGGGCAGTATGGCCTCTAGCTTCCCTGCCCTGGGATGATTCGACCACCACAGAGTTCGGCTTAGGGTGGTGAAGTAAAAAAGGAATGTCGCTCTCTCGGACCTGATACATGGACTCGTATCTCCTCACCGTAGGCTGAATTTGGGAAAGCAAGTCCCAAGGTTGCGTCATCGCCTGCTGCAGAGTCGTAGTAAGCGGCAAGACGATTGCTGGCAATTGTTCTCCCCTGACAATGTCATAGAACTTGTCGGTGCTCGGATCTGGCTGATGTTGCTCCTCAATCTCGAGCAACTGAACAAGTCTAGACATAAGCTCACCGAAAGATATGTGGGGCTCTTCAGGCGATGATGGGCCTTGAGACATAATCAGGCCATCCGGAGAGGTAGAGTCAGCATCTGAGTCAGAGTCGGGCCCGAGGAGGTATGGCTTTGACAAGGAAGTCCCTGGTGAAGTGGGACATTCAGGTTCAACCTGCTGGGAGGTAGATGGCATATCCTCCTGTGCGGAAGGCGAGGAGCGATCTCGTGGGTGAGGACGGAATCTGAAAGAATGGTAGTCCTCCCAACCCGACTGGTAGTTGTAATAGGGCCGGAACCATCCTTCTTCCCACCTCTCATCCATTCAGAACTGAGGTGGTGGTGATGGAGATCGGTCTCTAGCTCTCGCTGTAGGCATAGGAGTCAGGGAACGAGCCCTCGAAGGGGAGTCCCAAATCTCCCCACCAGATATGGACTCACGGTGCAGCTCCTCAGGCAGTTGGATAGGTAGGTCCTGTTGTGGAGCAGGTTGCACTGAGGACCCTGGAGGGGTAACCTGCATCGCCGCTTGAAGCATCGGTACCGATGGCTTTGGTACTGAAGCTGCCACTGGGATTGATGGTGCTGTTGAACCCAAATCCCGGTGCCTCTTCTTATGAGGCAGTTTGGCCGCCTTATCTTTCGTTGCCTTCTTATGGGCCGAAGACTGATCTGATCCCCCGTGCTTCCTCTTTTCCCGTTGTTTACGTGGGGGAGAAAGAGGTTGCTGAGCCCTGGAGGGGGAATTTCCATTATCCGATGGGTGCGGCTGAGACATAGGCGGTGTGGGTGAAGGGCGTTGCCCGGACTTGCCCAAGGCAGAGGCTGGGCGTTGAACCACCGTGGACGAGGCTGTGGCCCTGTGCTTAGCAGATGGAGCATGCGCTGGCCCAGGCTTTACTGCAGGCTGATCTGATTGCATCAGTGCTTGATCCCATAGGAGCTTCCGCAGTCGGTTCTCCTATTTTTTCGCGCTTGCTTAGTAAAAGCAAGGCAATGGCGGCATTTATCATTCCTGTGCCCCTCACTGAGGCAAAGGAGGCACAAGTCATGCGGGTCCGCCGGAGACATTTTGGACCCACATTCCACACATTTGCGGAAGGCCGCTCGCTGCGCCATCACAGAACCAGAAGAAATAGAATACAGGAAAGAGGGGAAAGCAATATATTTTTTGTTTTTTTGTTTTTTGTTTAATAGGAACGAAGAAAAAGAGAGAAAAAGGAGATATAAACTGCAACGAGGAAACAATAGCTTGGAATAAGAGCAAAAAGACAAACGGTAAGTAACGAACAATACTGAGTCAAGCAACAGATGAACAGGCATGAGGCACAGCGAACGGCGGTCGCAAAAGACTGGAGAAAATGGCGGACACTCCGCTCTATATATATGCTACCGA